AGCGAGTGCGGCCGTCTCAACTATAGGGTACTTTGTTGTTTTTGTCCAGTTCTACGGATTGTATTAATATGACATCAAAGGACACGGAAACCGCGATTGTCATATCCATAGATTCTATAAACAAAATCACAGGCAATTTGACTTCGAAGTCTATTTCCACACAACACATTTTCATAAGTTTGCCCTTATGCGACAAAGTAATTGCCAATAACCCTTCTAGAACTGTCTACCGATTCCGCAAAACGATATTAACTTCCCTACAAAGGTATTACAGGAATCGTCTTCACGGACAAGTGTCAATTCAACCCTTCGATGGGAAAAAGAAATGGCGTTTAAGAATGCTCTCCGATCCCCTGATAACTGTCGTGGCTAACTGACATTCGCTGTGGGGTGGACAGGGGATATTTTCTGAAGGATTCTTGTTCGTTCATTGCAGTTTTTTGCTGTTTTGAACGTTTGAAAAGTTTTGTTGTGGTGATACAAAAATTTCGTTTGTTTCTTTAGATGAAGTGTAGGTGTGTGTAGGTGAAGTTAAATAGAGTGGAAAATCAAACTTGAATGTCAATTTTTATCAAACGTACCTAAGAGATACCATAGAGGCTTCGCCATCGACAAAAATTTACAAAAGTAAGTTGTCATTCTTCTTTGGTGGCAAATTAATACAATCTGATTTATTAACCATTAACGTTAGATGAATTCCTATACAAAGCACCAACTTAAAATTATTATATTATTAATTAAAATTATTATATTATTATGTAACGTTGAATACTCTTCGGCCATACCAGGGGACCGACAGACCGGTAGCAGCCGTCCTCACGGGTCCGTCGCCGTGCGATGCCGTGTGATGCCGGCCTAGAATAGCATCACCCCAATTCTACCCGTGGGTGTCGTAAAAAGCGACTAAGGGATAATTATCCAGGGAATGGGCAGCAGCGTTCCCTGTGAATTAAACATCTTGCACTGCGCTCGCCAATCCGCCTGCCAAGCGTGGTGAGTATGGCAATACCCCCCAATACGGGGGAGGCCCATGTCCAGCAGTGGACTGTTGTGGCTGTTAAGGTATGTAACGTTGACTGGATTATCACAACACAGGTGTTGCCTTGTCTGAAATCCAATTGAAACCCAATGTTTATAATTTGTTTATTCTGGTAAATAAATTTATTCTTATTCTTATTCTTAACTTTTGGCTCACAAGTAAAGAAACAGTCAAAAGCAAATAATACTTTTGAATACATGTCTAGGTGTTCATAGCGACTACAAAACAAAACGCCTTAGTTCCTTATCTTCGACTTCTTCAAATAGGACACCAAGTCGTCCAACGACCCGATGAACCCTTATTAAAAAGAAACTTCCAAGTTGTCCAATGGCTAATGGTATCATCGAGTTCTCCAAACGAATACAAAACTTTAAAAAGACATTTTCTGTTTATTATAGAGTTCACCAGCATAAGAATTAAGGTTACTTAATTAAATACCCTCGTTTATAGCTACCTCCCTTATCTTTCCGCTTTCGTATCTCGAAATCATAGTTATTATTTTAACCCGCAGCAAAAACATTTTCGAAAGTACATTTATTAAATAAAGTGGTAATTAAAGACCAAAGTGCATCGCCAAAACGGAAATTTTACGCACGAAAAATAACTGTTACCAAAACACAGGCATTTTAAATTATTACCGTGTTGGCTGCGCGTACGCACCTTGCGTAGATAGGGATGTGAAAAATAGTCAATTATTTAAAAAAAGCGATGTTTTTCCGAAAATAATCGTTTGTTTAAATTCGAATTTCATTAATCCATTTATTTAAAAGCGATTTGTCGAATTTCCGAGTACAAAAAGACAATTATTTTTGTGAATTACCAATATTTGCACCAACAAATGATTTAGGGTCTTGTGTAATAAAAATAAAAATACACGACCCTTGGTTCCTCGATATATTTTGTTTGGGCGGAATGATGTTTATTTATTTTCCTTTTGTTGAAAATCTCATGATAAAATTATTATTGAGTAAAATCAAGTAAAATATATGGTAATAAAATGTTATGTTGTCTTTGGATAAAATCGATTTATTTCGAATCGATTTTTGCCTGGCTTGAAATAATCGATTATTAACAATGGATATTCTGTTAGGTACTAAATTCGCATCCCTGCCTTGCGGTAAACACCAATTGTACGCACAAAAAGCAAAGAAAGTTGCACTAATTGCTTGTTGAAGACACGCTCGATGTGGGGTACATTACGTGCACTCGGGGGCACAAAAAGTGAACATTTGTCGCCCGAAATTGAAGTTGAGTATCTTTGTTATGTCACTCGTGTGGAACATCGAGTCTAAAACGAACCGCCAAGGATGGTGTCAGAGTTTTAAACCCCCTAAATTACTAGACACCTAATTTAAGCCTGCAATATTATGTTTGAGCAATGAAGACCATCTCAGTTAGTATATAATTAATCAATTAAAGAGAACAAAATGGATCGAAAGATTAAACTGCCGACAAAATCACAAATTAAGTTGTTAAGCAAGTTTAAATTTAAATTTCCACAATGTTAATACGAAATTTGATACAAATCTAGACCAGAACTGTTTTAACTGCAAAAAAAATCACTCTGAATTTCGCTCCCTTTTGAAAAAGTGGGGACCACGACAAAAGGGTATCTATTAGCAGGTATAGTCGTTTAGTCGTACCAATGATCACGATGTGAACAACTACAAACGCGATAATAGTTAGCTAGGATTGGTTTTTATCGTATTTATGTGCACCAGCGTATGATAGGAATGGTAATGGATTGCAAGTATGCAGACCTGCGCGGGCGCAGACAGACGTCATATGGAGTTACGATCTCGACGCATGCGCGATACCGCATAAATATCGAGACGTTTTTCTGCGCGTTGTCGTGATTGTTTTACTTAGATACATTTGTTGATAGTGGCATTATTTTGCTGCCAATTAAATGTTCTATGCCCCTATCATTTGTTTTGCTGAGATTATTGTCATATTTAGAAGCTATCGGGGCGTAAACTTGCTGATAATTTTAAAGCATTTGCGACGACGGCTATATATTTTTTTAAATGCATTATTACAACCAGAAAATGAATATGGAGCATAGATTTAGTCCAGAAGAGTTATCGTGCCAAAAATTGATTCGATCGGTTGCGAATTGGCAGAGGGATATGTTAAAAGCGTTTGTGAATAAAAGTCACTATAGATCTCTCTTAAGACGCAGATTGCCTGTTAGATAACTATCAGTGGTAAAAAAAATTCCAATTAAATTAAATTATTTTACTATCAGCTTAGGCGAGAAACACTAGCAACACCATTTTGTAAGTTATATTTGCGCGTAAGTTACATCAGCGTTCATCGGGTCGTTGGACGACTTGGTGATCCACTCGAAGAAAAAGAAGACTAGGTAAACGAGTATGAAATTAGCCGAACGGAATTACCTACAAAGACACCAAACAAAAATTGAAACAATGCTTTTCCAGAATCAATGACAAGTAGCGGTAGGTACGTATTACTTAGGTTGCGTATGGTTCCGGCTTAGTAAAGGTAGCATCACCCCGTATCTTTCCTATGGGTGTCGTAAAATGCGACTAAGGGATTTCAGAGTTGATGTGTATTGCAATTTTAGGCTCACTACCTGTCACTATGGTGATACATAGTCTTCTGAATGATTTTCAAACTATTGTCAGACGTGAGGTAAATGGCCGTTTTCTACAACCGTTTACGCTCTGCCTACCCCGTAGGTAAGAGACGTACCTAGTCGTGATGTATGTATGTATGTAAATTGTTTGTGTCATCAACAAACACAATTAGAATAGTAATTCGATTACTAAACTAGCATTAAATGAGTAATAACTTCATTACACTTTTAAGTCCAAACAGCATCGAATACTTATCAAATTGAGCGTGTTATTAGCAAGTAAGTTATTGCTTGTATGCGTGTGCGCATAGCTTCGGGAGTTTACACACATGCCACATGAATTTGCGATATTTTGCCCGGCTGGTTCGGAAATTTGCACGTATACCGCATTATTTGCGTTTAACCGATGCGGTGTAACTGATGAATATAGATGATATCGTATGTAGAACACTGTGTCATCAATGTCATCATACTGCTGCTGTCACAGACTGTCGTCGGCTAGCTGCAACAACATTAGTCCACAGAAGTTCAGCGTTATATTTCAAAGTATTTGAAATAACCTCCAAACTTGGCAGGTACATTAGCGAGCGCAGTGCAACGTTATTTAGGTGTAATTCATTTAGGGAACGCTGGCTGCTCTTCTCTCGGGTGGAAAAGAGTCAGTCGGGTCATATGCTTACTGGCTGTCAAATACCGCAATACACTTCAGCACATGTGCGAATAGCCGTATGCGTAGGTACACATGAATAGCTTCAATTCATTTCAACTATTGCATACTCGCCCGGCTGCATGCTAGTATGGACAGGACAGTGGCTAAACTGCAAGAGGCGACTCGCAAGACGTTATGTTCAAAACAGGATTATGACAGGGTTGAAAGGTAGTAAAAAGCAGAGACAAATGGAACTTCGTACCTGTCTGTAACGTAAGTGTGTATGTTTTTGCGACATTACGAAATCGTACAGTTGTCTTGTCTGTGACTTTTAAGGAGGTGTTGGATTCCAGTACTTCGATATTGTTGCATAAATGATTCAGCCATAAAAACTATTGGTAGTAACAGATGCTACCTAGTCAATTTGCTGATACTGAAATTACTTACTTTCTGATTAAGACTGCAACTTACCGTCATTTATCATAATTTCAGCCTATAAGTATAAGAGTGCTGGCTAAGGTGAAACAAAGACCGTTACATAACACGGACCTACCCCTTTTTGAAAGTATTTATCATACCAACTCACTACGCATGGCAGAAGATTTGGCACACTCAAGATTTAAATGCTGCTGTAATTGAATAATCTATCTATTCCAAACAAGTTCCACACCGAAACTCTCTCAAGTTTGTTTTCACTCGTTTTTTGACAGGCGGTGATGTGGCGCAGTGGCAGTGCGTCTGCCTGCGACGCAGAAGTTTCCGGTTTCGATTCTCGGTGGGTTACTCACAATTTTGATATATCATCGATGAACTCAGGCGAAACCACCTGATTTTCCGAAAAGCAAGATGGTTCCGTGTTTCCGAGAGCACGTTAAGCCGTCGGTCCCAGTTGCTGTCTATGATTATTGATTACTTAGACGGCGGTCGTTACAGAGGCCTGCTACTTGTATCAAGCGGTTAAACCTTGACACTAGAGTTCATAGGGTCGTTGGACGACGTGTCTCACTCGAAGAAGAAGGAAAGAGACTCATTTTATTTGCATTATTTTTTGACCTAACAGCCGCAAACCCATCATGCGGAACTAAGTACCAGCCATTCCTTTATCATCAATCTTGGGAGGCAATTGAAAAGTTTCGGGCAGGCTTCGTTAAGCCGCTATCGTGCATCTCCCCCGTAGTAGTGCGGGTTCGATTCCCGGGTGTCGTCGGCCCACTAATCAGTTTACACGGCTGTGTTCTGGTGTTATTATCGTTTTTGTATACAGGATGTTAAAAGTATTTGTTTTATGTTGAGTAAAGATCTTTCAACAAAAGAGAAGGAGAGCGAATATCTTTTCCAACGGAATCTTGAATGATTGAATGACATTATCTCAAAATCAAAGATTAACATGATCTACATTGTCATACTCATATGTCATTAAAGGTAGTAGTTTGTAATTAAATTAGGAGATAGTATCTTAGGATTTCTACTTACTTCAAAGAAATTGCAGTACCTGAGAGGTGAGAAGATTAGCTCTTAATTAGAAGTTTTCTTGCAAACATTTACGTCGTCTGGCTTTGAAAGATAGAGATCGCCAAATCCTTCTGCTACATGATTGTGTTCTAACAAAACATGTTGCGCCTACCCCAACTGATTGGGACAAGCGCAGAAAGATGATGATGATGATTGGTAAAATTTTGATTCAATTTCTAAATTCACAACCGAGTCGGCTAACCTTTTAATTTAAATAATACCATAAAAAGACCCAGTATAGTCTGACCGGATCACCACTCGTGCGCAAGTCGCCGGTAGCGCGAAGGTGCGCGCGCGCAACGGTCGCTGCACACCTTGCGCTGCACCTTGCGTCTCGGACAACGTACCGCGACCAGATACGACAAGATACCAACCATATCAACACTTAACAAAAACGGCGCAAGAGACCTCCCTGAGGAACACAAAGTCATCCATGTATACGGCTTGTAGAGTCTAGACTCCTTTGAACGGATTTCGAAGCCGGAAAGACACCCTAAGGTTATTCAGCTAAAAAGTGAGTTTTTTATTACGGCTCTATATTAGCTTTTACGGTTGTCTTTGGTTATTAGCGTAGTGTGTTTCGTTTCGGCCAATTCTCGGCTCATCTAGGAACCGTTGAGATCTTATTCGATAAGGATTTGAAGGGTCCCTTCAGGTGGAAGTCAATTGGGTTATTTGTACATGTCATGGTCTGTCACAGTGTTTGTTAGCTGTTTAGAAAGTTTTTTTTTAGGCTAGATATCTTCATTAGATCATTTTCTATTTCTTGTTCACAGATATTATATCAAAATAACCATGTTCATCACTAATTGCAGGCTGCAGGTGTGACTGTGAAAGAAATAAGTAGGTAAACCTTTGAATTATGACATATTTTTGACCAATTACAAAAAAAGTACAGTCGAGAGAGGAGCCATTAGTTCCCAAGCTTACTTCTCATTATAGTCACATACCTATTATATTTCTGACACGGTCTACATCGGTTTACAGTGTTTCAGTTCCTAATGAACATTATAACATCTTAAGTTTTAATCACGACAGTGTTCAAACAAACAAAACAGTCTTTTAAAGTGTGTTGGTTGCTTTTATTTATAAACCAGGTATCGTTATTTAATTACCTTGTTCAGATCATCCATAAACCATGTTGTGAAGCGAAGAACAACTGTGAAAATTAGCATTGAATAAATAGGAAATGTGTCTATTAAATTATCGGTAATATATCTGTGGACATTACCATAATACGCCTGTAATTATTCGCAAAGATCCCAATAACTTGTTATGGTAGGCTTAAAAACCAAGCGACAGCGTCAACGACGCGCGTCGTTGTCGCTGTCAAATGACTGGTTTGTATGGGGAACCAGAAAGACCGAGCGTTGGCGTCGTTGCGGCGCGCCACGACGCCGTCACGTTGACAGCGCGCTGAGAAGCTTAGAGTTTGTATGGGATGCGGTCGGGTTTTTCTACAAGACCGCAGCGACAACGACGCTGTCAAAATTTGACGGCGTCGTTTTCGCGACGCTTGGTTTATAGGCCTACCATAATGCGTCTGGTAATTATTCGCGCAGATCTCAATAACTTGTTAGTCGCACGCGCATCGGTAAAGACGGCATAATTGAGCGGTTTTGTGTAATAAACATGTTGGTTTGCTGTTTACGAATCGACGTGTAATGCTTTTTGATTTTGTGAGTTGACTTGGAAAAGATAGAGTAGACTATAAATTCGAGTAGTCTTCTGCAAAATACTTTTTGCACAATATTTCACTTACCTACAAAATGTTAGATTGTATAAGATATGTATGATAGCTTGTATTCAAAATCTTTGATGTCATATAAAAATTCGTAAGCTTATCTATCAGCCAAGGCCTACATATAAAAAACACGTTCACGTTCCGTAATCCTTAAAACACGGCTGTCAAAGGATGAACTGCTCTTTGACCTCTTAGTAGGAGAAACATTTTGCAGAATGTTAAATTGTATAAGATTTGACAACTTGCATTAAAATCTTTGATGTCACATAAACATTTCGAAAACCTATCAGGCAAGGTCTAAATAGGAATATGAAAAAATTCGTCGACGTTTTGGCCGATATCCGAAATTCTTAAAACACAATGTCACAGGATGTACAGCTACTGTTTGACCTCATAATAGCGTTCCCTCTTAAACAGGAACATATCACACAAACATCAAGCCTATCTCAATCTCCCTACACAAGAACCCCTAGTCTTTCACACTATTACTGACCTTAGAGCCAAAGTTTTACTGCCTATAAACTGCCCCTGGAAATGTGTATGTCACTTGCTAAAATCTAAGATAAGACGCCCCTAGCCCCATGCGCGCGAGACAATATAGACTAGAAACTCTTTAGGCGGTTTGTCTGGTCAATTTAGTATGCACTGCGAACCGCACCACATAAAGAAAGTAGGTACAAACTTGTTTTCCAAGTGGATATTTTTGGTGCAAATCTTACCTAAAGATTATGGAATGAAATCACTAGATTGTTTTCTTGCTGGTATCGCCATGGAAGCTTGTAGAATAAGGATCAAGTTATTAAAAAACCATGTATGTTTGACCTCTGCCTGCGGTATATGTATTCTTATTTAAATCTTATTGTTAACCCCACACGCATAAATACGTTTCCAAAAATTTATATTAGGTATTTGTAGCTACTTTTTTAAAATAGTGAAAATTTTCTCAGGCGTACCACAGAAAGCGATCTAAAATAAATTCTTTTGTGCAGTATTTTTACACCCAAGGGTCGCGTCGTACGAGTCTTTGGGCTAAGCTCGGCCATCAGATAAAACCGGGCACCCCTAAAGGGTCCAGAAGTCAAATGTCAGGACTTCACACTTACTCTTCGAGACAATTTTTTAGTAAAACAATGTGTAGGGGTCACGTGTGATGTTTCGAGAGATGTTTTTACCGAAATGCGTGTGATATTGTCTGGGTTTGAATCCCTTAGTTGCTTCTTACGACTCACACAGGAAAAAATGGAGTGATGCTATTCTAAGCCGGCATTTAACGGTTATCAATTTTTTCTTTCAAATGTATTTCAGCGGGATATAAAATCATTACACTCATCACTCATGTTCTGAATAAAGCTCTGCATAGTTTATCATTATTTCAGCATCATTTACAAAATTAAATTTACAATTTGTTGGCTTACAAATCATTTTACAATCAAATACCCCTGAAAGGTGTGTTTTTATATAGGGTTACATTTAATTAAATACAAATCTCTTGGGGGTGTGATCTACTAACAAAACTGAATAACTTTTGTTAGAAACTTTTCTACGAAATATGAAAAAAAGATTTGGACCTCCCATACAAAAATGTTGAAAAAGTGTGTCACTTAGTATGGGAGGACCAAATATTTTTTTCATATTTCAAAGAAAAGTTTCGTACAAAAGTTATTCAGTTTTGTGAGTAGATCACACCCCCAAGAGATTTGTACTTAATGAAATGTAACCTTACATAAATATTTAAGTATAAACAACTGCTCTATACAGATCTTGGACAGCGCATTGCAGGAAAGAGTAGTCCGGAACATAATTATGGCGACGACGGCGACCCCTGTGGAATGACGTCACACATCACCCGTTTATCTGAGTATCGCCTCCAAACGGCCTCTGGGGAGACACTATTACGTAGAGCTGTGGAGTTATTGCAAAAATTTGTAACTCCTTTTGGGTCCTTCAAGATCCTAGTGTTTGCTAGTAAAACTGATGAACTAGTCCTTCGTTATGAAAGGTTGCGAAACATTAATATAAAGTTCAAAACTCATCTGTTCAGTAGAAATTTCGTTATTTAGAAAGTGTCTTTGGCATACTCGTATGACTTAACGCTGCTGTTCTTCAATTTCTCCTAAGCAGACTGCCTTAGTGCCTATTGAAAGCGAAATTAGCCACACATCAAACAGGCCTTATAAAAAAAACCTAGAAGCCAATGAAGTTCATTTCTCTAATACACACAGAATTACACTATTTATTTAGCAGAAAAACTAACAATACATTAAAAGTAAGAATTCCATTCAAAATCCTACCGAAATATATCTGGTACCTCAATTAAGGTGGTGGATGTAAATTGGCACAAGACGACTGACCCTTGCTTGTTGCCCATCTTAGAAGAATCTGGTGTAAGGAACAAGAGAATGATATTTACTTGTCGTATGAGACCCAACTATGAGTAGACGAAAGTCCCGATGAACAAGGAGTCATACCTAGTGATTGGGAGATGTGAGTGGGTGATCCTGGATCTATTTTGTTTTCACATTAAATAAT